TATATATATATTTAACCGCTTAACTCTTAAGATTTAATTTTTATTTTTTTCTCTCCCCACAGAGTAAATCGGAGCCAGAATTACCTGCAGTTCTCCCGCCGTCCCTGCAGGGGATGGAGGAGTTGTCAGAAGCGGTGGCAGAGCTGACCACCGTGGAGGAGGTCATGAAGTACCTGGAACCAGAGCGATGGCAACTGGATATAGAGGAGTTGTACAAACCCACATGGCATGGGCTGGGGAAATCCTTCATGCACAATAAGAAAGCAAGAGGTGAGGGGCTTTTAAGGTCTGCTATAAACCCAACCAAAACAATCAATCGATTTAGGGTTTAACACGGAAATCGGGTTGTGTCAAGTTCTAGTATATATAAAGGGAATGGAAGCACTGGATTTATGCCTTGAATTTGGAAGAGATGTAAATATATTTCAAATGATTTGTATTTGTTTCTTTTTATCTTTGAGTAGGTGTTGATCTCAATCTGCTGAGGGAAGACGTTCGACTGTACAGCTGCACGCCACGAAACTACTCCGTATCCTTACGAGAAGAGCTGAAAAGGACGGATGTCGTCTTCTGGCCCAGCTGCCTCCTTGTGAAGCGTTGTGGTGGGAACTGTGCCTGCTGTTCTCATCGCTGCTTCGACTGCCAGTGTCTTCCTACCAGAGTTGCAAAGAAATACCACGAGGTATCCGTTCATTTTGTTGCACCACGCGGTTTGCGCACCGACAACTGCCATATTAGAGCTGATTTATTATTGGTTTCCGGTGCATGATTGCGCGTGGCCATCAGAACAAATTGCAAATTCAAAAACAGATGTATTTTTAAAAACTGGCGCTTGCACAGAGGTCCTTTCGATTTGAAATAATCAAATTTAGCAAGTCCTTCATATTTGTAGGGGGGAAGTACATCACATCTCCAAGGTCCAGCCTCCCTCCTCATCTTTATCTCCATCTAACTTTATCTTCAAAWTATGCTGCATTTTCTGTGCCTTGGAAATGGACAGGGAAAACCATTGGCATTCATCATGACTGGGGACTGAATCAGAAGCCAGAAGTTCAAGCCACAAAGGATGAGTGCCCTCTAGTGGTTGGACCATTTTTAAGTTGTAAATTGAAGATTTTCCTGACTGAATAAAGAGACTCTTCTGATATTTTTCAGTTTATTTTGTTGCTTCATGCAGTTCTTATCTTACTGCTTGATATCCAAGCATGCATTGTTTGAAAACTACTTTTAGTTAGTTTAGGCGTAAAAAGTGTCAAACTGCATTGTAWTTGACATTTTAACAGCCTGTTAGTGAGATGGAATGGTGCAAGCTGAAATTTTGTATCAATGGGTCAGGGTTAGGTAGCTTTATACCACTTGTGACATTGAAATTAAGTCCTAAAGCATGCTGGACCAGAATATTTTGAAGCTAGCAGTCACCTGGACAGAGGCAACTTATGATTTGAAGTGGAGTGGGTGGGGCATTTTGTAAAATAAAACAAAAAAAAACTTTATATACAGGAGGAGGTCTCTTATTTTAGCTTTCTACATCTTAAAATGTAGCATTAAAGTAAAAATCATGCATATCCATCAAATACAAACAGTCAAGTAAAACATCTTTATATTTAGGAAAACTAGCATAATACACAAAAAATTACACATTTTGTCACATCTAGCACATTTTCTTTTGAACTTGATCTCAGCCAAAGTAAAACAGGAAGTGACATCAAAGAGGAACWTCCTGGTCTTTGTTTATTGAAACAATATTATTTGAACTCTGACGCTTTTTCATCTCTCACTGATAGTAACTCAAAATAATAAACAAAACAACCCCATCAGATTATTTTGTGCAGTCTGTGTTCGCACTGCTCTGTTCTCATTCAGACATTCTCCTTTGTCTTCACTTCCCGCTACTTCACATGTGAATATCTCAACAACTGTTCATCTTTGTGGGGTGAACATTTTTTTTGCAATATGTTATCAATGTTATCTTTCCAAAAATATATTTGTATTTGTTACAAAAATTTGATGCCACAGGCACTTTAAGTCTGACACTCATTTTCTCTCTAATTTACACCTTCATGCCTGTGACCAAAGCATTTCTTTTATGAGCCAGGCAAACGACCTGAACGACTCTCCAGTAGGAAGGACATGAGATTAATCTGCATGTGAATTAATCTCAGGCAGCTTAAACTCTTTTTTCCTTTCTTCTCTTTAGGTTTTACTGTTGAAACATCGGAGTGGTGGAAGGGGCCTGTTGAGGTCCATCACTGACGTGCCTTTGGAGCACCACGAGGAATGTTCCTGCGAGTGTAAAGATGACCAGGACTGACCTCCAGACATGTCGAATATCTGCCAATGGAAACACTTTGGAAATAAACTCTTGCTGCTGTTTTGTATCTCACCCACTTCCTCTGGGAGCCAACAAGATTTTACTTTTATGCTGTTGTCCTTTCACTAATTGGCTGAAGCGGAACAGAAAGAATTCTGAATGGATGTGGTCACTGTGAAATACCAACAGTGTGTCCTGAGTGACAAAAAAAAAAAAATCACTAGAGCAGATGTAGACCATTACCTATGATGTTTTCCAGCTTCTCCAAGATACAAGAGACKTTTTTTGCCTCCTCTGCCAAAAACTGGTTTCAAAGTTCAATTGGTGCGGGCTGATGCTGTCAAATAAAATTTGACTTTTTTTCCCCAAAGTACTGTTTTTTCATGATTTTTAAAAGTGAAATGACACCAGTTGCTTCACTTATTCAGCTTCTTTACTATTACTATCAAAGCAAAGTCCTGTTCATCGGCAATTTTTTATTTGCTCTCCTTGTTTTGCTGAGGATGTAATCAGTGGCAAAATAAAGCTGATTAGACTGCATTCTGTGTAAATATATTTTTTTATTCTCTTTTATACATTTGTGCCTTTTTGTTAAAGGCACACGATGCACATGATGGAAATGTTTCTGCAAAAAAGTCTTCATCTTAATGTCCAGTCTGTTTGTTTCAGGTATGCCTAGGGTTGAGTAAATTTTCAGAAAGATTGTTCATAAKAAATATTTATTTGTTTTCTGAAAGGGAATTTTGATCCACTGTGCTTTGTTTGCTATACGTTTGCCGTTGTACAATATTCTTGCATACTTTTTTATTTTGTCGGTTATTTTTACATTGATATTTCATCGTGRATGTTTTTAATCTTTTTTGTACACCAAAGTTATTTATCTCTACTTTTGAAAACAACTGTTTGTGTATTTTGTAGTACTGAATGCCAAAATTAAAAAAAAAATTTCCAACCTCTGCCTTYGTTGAGCCATAACTTCTTATCAACAAGTCAGCTTATCTGTTTCTTATTGTCTCTTTGAAGCATGACCAGGTGGAAATTTCACTGCTCCAAACAGTGTCCACAAAAAMGTTTGAATGGGAAATGAAAGCACCATAGTCAATGAACCTTCTGGTAGCAAATGGAAAGGTCTCTTGCAAACAATGGGCCTCATGCAAAAACATTTTCGTAGTCTTGTCCTAAATTTCTCTTACTTTTGTTCATACAAAGGGTTTGTACAAACATGCCACGTCAGATTCAGCAAACTCTTCTATCTTCAAAAAAAGTGTGTAAATGAGCTGCGTGAAAGAACAAGGAAAAGAGATTAGCATAATTACCACCCCAAAAACACCATATAAGGTGACACTTCCTGCCCCACATACCAGGAAATGTCCATTCATAAATGACATTCCCAAGTAAAAAGAACTTTACGAGTCCTGAAACTGAAGTTCTGCTCTCAGAGATCCAGAAAAGRAAATCTGTCATTTTGAGCAGCATCAGCTGTGGAATTAAAGGACCTGCTAAAGCCGAGGAATGAAATGACGACGGCTGTTAATGTTGTGTCTCCCGTGGGTCGTACAGTCACAGAAATAAAAATCTAAATCATATTCATTTCTCTAGTCCTGCTCCGCTTTTCCTTTGGTTAAATATATTTAATGAAATTCTAAACAACTATGTTACATAGTTTTCATATATTCAGAAGGTGATTTATTTTCAACTCGAAATATCTTCAAACTAATAAAATAAAGTTATTAATGAAGAAACTCCGTCCGGATAACAGCAGACTGACTGCACATAAAATATACGACAGGTCTGGACCACATGAATTTTATTCGCATCTGAAGAAAATCTTAGAATACGAGAAAATTGGTGAATGCCACAAATTCTCCCACTCGTACGCACAMCTRAAGAACAAATCTGTTCATACGAACGGTTCTTGCATGAGGCCCAGTATCAGGTTGAAACGTGAGCTCTATAATTTATTTATCCTGTGATCTTTAAAGTAACTTAAAGAAAAAAAACATCATGGCTATGCTGATGTCATAACTATCACAGACCAGATCATGCACCACACGTTTTTCTTAAATAGTAAAAACCAAGCATTGCCTTATACAACATTATTGCATTTCTGTTGTTTTTTTGCAGAAATGCATTTGATTCTCTAGTCTTTAAGTGTTGAGTATAAAAAAAAATAAAACAAGAGTGGTCATTTGTGCCACTTTATCAATATAACTATCCAAGTGACTTTACACACACAACTTAAAAGCCTCCCATCAATCTCTATTTTCTTGAAATTCCTATTTTATCTCCATTAAACTCCAAGCAGTGCTTTTCCTCTCTCTGTCTCTCTCCCTTTGGCCATCAGGCCACCCAGGAGGAGGTTCTCATTTGTCCATCTCACACTGCTGTTCTGGCCAATTATTTTGATCTAATGTCCATCCTGGCAGGCATCTGAGGTGAGGCCAGATGCTACTGCATAAGCCCACCGGCTCCCAAGGTGGTTTTTATAACATTAAACAGGCGGCCTCCCCCTTTGGCCGGTGCGGTGTTACTTTGCAGAGAAAACCTGAATGAATTGGCACAAGATGTGACACATCCTGGGCACTTGGTTTGGCCCTTGACATGATTCTGGACTTGTGTGAGTGTGTGTAGGAGGGATGTTTACAACTACAAGCTAGCACTTCCAGCATTTATCCACATCCTCTTAGTGTCTGATTTTCTGTAGAGCCAAACCAGCCTCGGGCTAGAACACAGATACATAAAGTCAAAAGAAATAATAATAAAAAATGCCAAGAACCAGGAACTGCCACAATTCAAACAAATAGACACTAAATCAAATCTTAATAGAGCTATAAAAGCTCAATGATAGGAAGTCTCAGAGAAGCCCTTGGACTTTTGCTGACCAATTGTGCTGAGGAACATTCTGCCTCCTCCACAAGTGAGTCATTTTAAAACACAACACACTCATAAATCCTTGCTAAATGAAAGAACGAATCTTTAATATTTTAAAGGTCTACCTTTCACAGTGATTACCTGGGAAAATCTGCAAATTATTAAAGAGCACAATGAATTTATCGCTCAATAAATCACTTCACGAATGACGTGAGCACTGAGCTGTTTTTAACTAAAGCTTATTGCTTCTCACTGAGTAAAAACTCAAAAAAATATGTTGTTAGTAACTGGTTTGCGATTAAAAAATCTGTTGCAACTTGCAACTAACTGTTCAGTTATAATGTTATCATCATGTCTGGGAATCGAGCTCCTCTGGATGTCTCAAAGAACAGTGTTGGACGTTTGAGAAGAAACTGATGGGGAAAAAACAAGGTGGCCCATCCTTTGGTTATAGGCTAGAAACAGAAAGGCCAAACCGGTGGTTGTCGTTTGTGGTTTGATAATTAAAGGCTTCATTAGCAGTAGTTTTCAGAGAGCTGACTGTTTCTGGAAATGTGAAGTCGTTAACTTTAGTGTAGAATTAGTCACAGGTTGGGAAGTCATTTATAAAGCAGCACACACGGACAACCTACAGTATGTGCTAAATACACTGTAGTTTGAGCCGTTTGACAGATGTCTTCAGTTTTAGCTTTGATCTCCTTCATTACACACATTTAACTATTTCACCTTACCACACCAGGATTAAGTGTTTATAAGTATACCATGCATGTTATACTTGATAGAGCTGGCCCCGGTAACTGAGAGGTCAGCGCTGGCAACTGAGAAGGAGACCATTCAATYGCATTACCATCGGAGAGGCTAGTGACTAGCATGGATAAGCTGGCGTTAGCATTGGAGAGGCTAGCGACTAGAATGGACAGCATCTGAGAGGCTATAGCATGGATAAGCTGGCATTAGCAGAGGTTTTTTAAAAATGGTTGACATACAATACAACACCTATAAGCAACATACATTGACAGAATTTACTGTTCTATATGACGTAAAGTATAAATATTAAGGATAAAACATATTACTGTGAAGCAGACTGCTTGAGTTTCCACCTGCATTAGCAGCTGCATTTGCCCTTGTCTATTGGCCGATGTTGGTGTTTTATTTTTTCTTCTCTTTAGTGGAATTGTGAGAAAAACCAGAACTATTAAGTTGGGGCATTTTAGAGAAAGTTTGTTTCTAAAGAAAATTTTCTTTACTCAAAAACGTTTGTGTCTAATAGTAGGTGAGCAGCCTAGACATGCTAGTTGCTAGCCTCTCCGATGCTAATTCCAGTTTATCCATGCTAGTTGCCAGCAATACTAACACAAACGAATAGTCTCTTAAGTTACCGAGACCATGTACCATGAACTTTGTCTTGTGGGTTTTAAAGAGCATTGAACATCTCACTGTAACTTGTTTTTATCAGCATTTATCCATCCATCCATCCATCCATTTTCTTCCGCCTATCCGGGGTCGGGTCGCGGGGGCAGCAGCTTCAGAAGGGAGGCCCAGACCTCCCTTTCCCCAGCCACTTCTTCCAGCTCCTCCGGGGGAACTCCAAGGCGTTCCCAGGCCAGCCGAGAGACATAGTCCCTCCAGCGTGTCCTGGGTCTTCCTCGGGGCCTCCTCCCGGTGGGACGTGCCCGGAAAACCTCACCAGGGAGGCGTCCAGGAGGCATCCTTACCAGATGGGCATCCATGCAACCTTCAGGTGAAAATGAAGACCCCAAACCCAGACCCAAACCAGTGGTTATTCCGTATGTTGC